CTGGTTAGGCCTCAGTTGGAGTATTGTGTCCAGTTCTGGGCACCGCATTTCAAGAAAGATTTGGAGAAATTGGAGAGGGTGCAGAGAAGAGCAACAAGAATGATTAAAGGTCTAGAGAACATGACCTATGAAGGAAGGCTGAAGGAACTGGGTTTGTTTAGTTTAGAAAAGAGAAGATTGAGGGGGGATATGATAGCTGTTTTCAGGTATCTAAAAGGGTGTCATATGGAGGAGGGAGAAAACTTGTTCATCTTGGCCTGAGGATAGAACAAGAAGCAATGGGCTTAAACTGCAGCAAGGGAGGTTTAGGTTGGACATTAGGAAAAAGTTCCTAACTGTCAGGGTGGTTAAACACTGGAATAAATTGCCCAGGGAAGTTGTGGACTCTCCATCTCTGGAGATATTCAAGAGCAGGTTAGATAAATGTCTATCAGGGATGGTCTAGATAGTACTTGGTCCTGCCATGAGGGCAGGGGACTGGACTCGATGACCTCTCGAGGTCCCTTCCAGTCCTAGTATTCTATGATTCTATGATTTGTGGAGGTCCCAGTCCCTGGATGGGGATTAACACTGCAATGGGGCAGAGCAGACGTGTCCAGGTATCAGTGCTCTGAGGGTGACCCACAGAGGGACTGGAGTTTTGAAAAATGCACCTTTAAAGCCTGTTCCACACCCTGGCCTCCGCAGCAGAAGAGCTTTATGGACTTGAGAACATGAGACAGGGGCCAGCTGGCAGGCCTGGCTCGAGCGGGAGAGGCTGGAGACTCAGCGCTTTTGAAAATCCAGTGATGCATGTTATGTAGGTGTCTTTTGGTGGATCAAGATTTCCAGACGGATTTTGGGGGCCCAACTCCGTGCAAATGAAGCCCCTTTAAAAGTGTCTCACCAACATTTGGTACTGAGACTGTCAGCTCTTTGGGGCTGAGTGTGTCTTTCTGTGCTGGGCTGGTTCAGCACCTGGTGCCTCGGGGGCCTGGTCTGGGACTGCAGCACTGAAGCACAAACACGGCACGGAGCCATAAATTATTTCAGACAGACAGAAGAAATTCACTGGAGCAGGTTCCTTGTGAGCGAGGGGTGGGAGGAGGCTGGCAGCCAGTTGGGGTCATTGTGAATCAGCAAAGCCTTCCTTGGCCCAGCCCTTCCCCTGTGTGTATCATGGCCCTGACCCAAGTGACAGGGTCAGTTTGGGGAGAATTTTTTCCCAGAAGAGGGAAAGGAAACAGCCACTTACCGCAAGGGGACGCCCTGGTCAAGGGGAAGAGGAGCAGCAGGAGAGCGAGTTGCTTCATTGCTGACTTTGCACTAAGAAAAACCGTGGATCATGGGTTAATAGCCAGGCTAGGGGGTGGCAGGGCTCCTCCCCAACCCTCCTGCTCCCAGGGCAGTGCTGGCTCTCTGCCTAATATGCAGTTTTCGCCTCTGTGGGGTGTGGAGATCACATTGTACCCATTTTGCAGATGGACCCCTCCCTGTGGCAGAGTGCTCAGCTCTCTGCAAGCGTCGTGCTGCTGCTTAGGCCCGTGCCCAACAGCTGCTGGCAGAGAAAAGCTTGCCAGGGTCCGGCTGATCATCCCAGCAGAGAATTTCAGAGGCACAAGTGGCACTGAGGTACCCAACTCCCATTGTCCAGTGAGTTTCCTGGAAAATCTCCCCTCCCCCCGCTTCCCAGAGCCCAGGATGAAATTCAGCTGGAGGATCAGTGTGCAGGACTCAGGAAGGCCAGTGGCTGCAGCTAACATCAAGGCACCTTGGACAATGTGGGGGTAGCCAGTGGGTAGCAGATTCTTTGGAGTCCACTGACTCCAAAGAGCTTTAGATCAGGCCCTTTCCACCTCAGTTTCTCCATCAGCAAAACATAAGAACATCAGAACGGCCACACTGGGTCAGACCAAATGTTCATCCATCCCGGTATCCTGTCTGCTGACAGTGGCCAATACCAGATGTCCCAGAGGGGAGGGATCACATCAGGTAATCCTCATGTGATCCCTCCCCTGTCACCCACTTTCAGAGAAACAGAGGCTAGGAACACCATTCCTACCCATAATAGCCATTGATGGACCTAACCTCCATGAATCGATCTAACTCTTTTTTGAACCCTGTTGACGTTCTAGCCTTCACCTTATCCTCTGGCAGGGAGTTCCGCAGGTTGATGATGCACTGAGTGAAGGAAAACTTCTTTTTGTTTGTTTTAAAATGGGTACAATGAGATCTCTACACCCCAGAGAGGCGCTGCGAGGCTCAGTTAGCTGAGAGAAAGCAGGGGCAGGGCTCGCTGTGTGCTCATGATGCTACATGCATTCTTCCTGGGACCCTGTACAGGCACCATAGTCCCCAGTGCTCCACTCCCAGCCTGTCTCCCCAGAGCTTCCCACCCCGCAAGCCCATCGCTGAACCATCAAGGGATTTTCAGTGGGCTCTGAAGAGGAAAACTGCTCTGCACGGCCAGTCCCTGCCACCTCTTGCAAACCCCCACTGAGCGCAAGGGCTGCAGGGTGTGGGTGCGAATGTTTCCCCTGGCTCCAGGCTGCACTGCGATCTGGTCCAGAGAGGGGAAGTGCGGGGATCACTACCTACATCACTGGAGTGCCAGGGCAGAGGAGAGTAAACCGTGGCCCCACCCCAGCCAGAGCGCCGGAGCCGAGTGGGGTAAGCCTTGATGCCCCAGAGCCTTTCCCAGGCTGGCTCACTGCGTGGAGGGGGATACGCTCCCGGGGGTGAGTTTGGATGCAACGTTGGAGAACCGAGGCCCACCTGTGGCGACTCCCCTGGTTGAAACATCCCCACTGCTACGTGACAGAGTAACGTCCTAAGGGAGGGGAAGGGTCGGGACTCACCTGGGGTCCCTATGTCCCGTGTCACCGCGGCGTCTAACGGCAGAGTTCACCAGCCAACGCTTCTGACCAGCGAGACTGTTCCTCTGACGGGCCAAACCCAAAGTGAACCTTTTAAAGGGAAGGGAGCCAATCAATCAAAGCAAACACCGGAACAGTCCCAGCACTCCGCCCAGGGGCTGGGGAGAAGCTTTCCAATGAAAACGATAAACAGGGTCAAACCGAGTTCATGTTGCAACTGCCTCCATTCATTGACCTTCCTCGGCCAGCCAGCCAGGAAACTCCGTGTTGATGCAATAACACATGGCAGGTCAGACATCACTGCATTATCGCAGACTGTTTGCAAGCTGCAGCGGTGTGTTGACTTAGGTGGTGGAATTGAACGGTCCCGATGAAGCCAAGGCGGAAGTTAGCCCAGAGACCAGAAAGTTACATCTCGGTCAGCCCAGAGCACAGAGACCCCTGACTCCTCCTTAGTCCCAGGCCAAGAGAATCTCCTGCAGCCAGCAGCCCACCATTAACGCCCATACTGGGCCCCACATTGCTAGGTGCCTAATACCTGGGCACTTGGTGATACTGTCTTCTTGGACTCCCCGTGGGCATGGAGGCCCAGGTTCCAAAATGGCCAGGCCTCAGTCATGCCAGTATCGCTGGGTCTCTGTAAAGAGCAAACAAACTTTTCTCACTGGCTAATTAACCATGCACCACATAGGGGAAACTGAGGCACACACAATATTCACGCAAAACAGCTTGGGCAATTGCCCACACCACTACAGCTTTAGATTCAGAAAGGACTCCGGATGTGAAGAGCAATCAGAAGAATTCATTTAATTTGTCAATCATCATCGGCATCCCAATCTAGAGAGTCTCTGTCCCTTACTTAAGAATTCCCAACATTCTGCTTTTTTACTGACAGCTGCTGTGCACTGCCTGGGGATTTGCAGGGAACTCCCCACCATGACTCCAAGGCCTCCACTGGTAACAGCTAATTTAGCCCTCATCATTTTATCAGAAAATATGCTACTTCCTCTATAGAAATCCATGGTAAACCCACATCTTGAATACTGGGGACAGAAAACTGGCTAGATTATTGGGCTCAACTGGCAGAGATCAATGGCTCAATGTCTAGTTGTCAGCTGGTTTCAAGCAGAGTGGCCAAGTTTTGTTCAACATCTTCATTCATGATCTAGATCAGGGCTACTGGACTTTGGAAGCCCCAGCGGCCACAATGATATTTGCAGCACATGCCAAGGGCCACAACTTAATTGTGGTTGCATATACATGCAAATATATATGCAAATCAATGCAAATTGCTTCTTTCACACTGATAGGCACGAATACAAAGATTAAACCTTAAGCTGCGGCACTGGACCCAAACGTGGCCAGTGTGAGCCAGTCAGCACCTCTCAAGCTCTGCTCACAAGGCTCAGCAGCCAGCAATTCCCACAATGCCCCAGCGTGTCCAGCACCTCCTTGCTGGTGTCTAGAAATGCCGACACCCTGTACCTGCCTGTTCCAGCCAGCCCGTCCGCTTGTGTCTTTCAGTGCTCAGCCCACCTGGGAGACGCCTCGCCGTTGTGGAGCGTGTTCCCAGTGGAGGCCATGTTCAAAGGATCCCACCTGCAGGCCTGTGTAAACCCAAACCACACTGCGGGCCACAAACAAATGGGCCACAGACCCATGCAGGCTGCAGGCCGCGTGTTAAGTAGCCCTGATCTAGCTGATGGAATGGCTTGCACCCTCAGCATGGTCACAGATGATACAAAGCTGGGGGGCAGGGACAGGGTCCAGTGACCTAAAATTGGAGGATTGGGCCAAGAGAAATCTGATGAGGTTCAACAAGGACAAGTGCAGCGTGCTGCATGTGGGATGGAAGATTCCCAAGCGCTGCTACAGCCTGGGGACCAACTAGCTAAGTGGCAGTTCTGCAGAAAAGGACCTGGGGGTTACAGCAGAAAGAAGCAGGATATGAATCAGCAGTGGGCCCTTGTTGCCAAGTAGGCTAATGGCATTAACAGGAGCAGTGCCAGCAGACTGAGGGATGTGATTATTCCCCCTCTGTTTGGCACTGATGAGGCCACATTTGAAGCATAACTGAAAAATGGTTATAGGAACTCCACATCAAAGTTGGTCTATTTCAATGTATAAAGATTATTTTTCTAAGTGCCAGTTCCATAAATAAAACATGGAATTTGCAAGTTAATTATTACTTATATAATGCCATTAGTGGCAGCAAAGGGAGGGGGTACTTCAAAGTGGCAGTACTGCGTGGAGTCAGGGGCCAGCTGGCGTGTCCTCTGGCTGCACACAGCGTTTCAAAGCGGCAGCACTGCGTGGAGCCCAGGATCATGTGGTGCTGCTGCTTTGAAATGCCGAGTGGAGCCTGACGCCAGGCTCGCCACAGCATTTAAAAGTGGCAGCGCCGCACAGAGCCCGGGGTCAGTTCCCAGCTGATCCTGGGCTCCACGCGTGCTTTCGCCTTCAAAGCCCTAGGTTGTTGCTACACTTCAAAGGCAGAGGTGCCCTATCGACTAATAGAACAGTCAATGCAAAAATGCATCGACTATTCGATTTGTTAATTACTCCATGTTTAACATCCCTACTCATAACACAATAACTAGGAGTCACTAAATGAACTTAATAGGTAGCAGGTTTAAAACAAACTAAGCATTTCTTCACAGAACACACAGGCTACGTCTACACTGCACATTAATTTTGAAGTAAGATACTCCGGAATAGTTATTCAGGAATAGCTTATTTCGAAATAGCATGTCTCCACTACAGGGAAGCCTCAAAATTAGTCCAAGGCAGGATTCCCTAATGTAGAGGTGCTATCTTGATTTAGAGCCCCAGGAGGCACTGGGGAGGAATAACTTAGAATGTCCCTGGTAAGGGGCTATTTCGAAATAGCAGCAGTGGAGCGTCTACACACGCCTTATTTCAAAATAGCTGTTTTGGAATAGGAATTATACTTCATAGAATGAAGTTTACAGGTTTCAGAATAAGCTGCCTGTTATTTCAAAATTATTTCGAAATAACAGAATGGCTGTGTAGACGCTCGCATTGTTATTTCAGAATAACAGCCCTTATTCTGAAATAACTTTGCTGTGTAGACATACCCATGGTCAACCTGTGGAACTCTTTGCCAGAAGATGTTAAGAAAGCCAAGACTGTAACAGAGTTTGAAAAAGATGTCGAATTTGTCACTATTTATCTTTCTACTATTTCCCGATGTGTTAGACTCTTTTTCATTTGACTGTTTCTCGTGTGATCTTTACCAGTATTTTATCATCTTCCATCCTCCACATAGCAAAAGATATAAAACACCCTGGAAAACCCTCCATTTTGTCTTCAATCCTGAATCAAACCTGTGGAGGATCTTTGCTGTGAACTGAAGCTCTAATGAAGGCTGAATGACACATCCGAGGTGCGGATGTACTCCAGAAGCTTGACTTAAGCCAGCAGTTTATTTCACCACTGCTACATGCTTGAATCAAGAACTTTGCAATTGTATGCATTTGATTCTTTTAACTATTTTAGCTAACTTTTCTCTTTCTTTCTTTCTTTCTTTCTTTCTTTCTTTCTTTCTTTCTTTCTTTCTTTCTTTCTTTCTTTCTTTCTTTCTTTTCTGCCTTTAGATTTTAGTTGCTAAAGCATTGACACAGTGATTTTTGGGTAAGATTCTGAGTTATAAATTGACTTTGGCCTCTGGCTGATTCTTTGGGATCAGAAAAACCTTCTATTGGATGAGGTTGGTTTTCGTAACCTCTCATCTGGGTAAGGAGTGGTACTGGTGGTGAATCAGAACTGGAGTGTCTGAGGGAATTGCTCGTATGACTTCCTGCTGGCCGGTGTGGTGAAACAGTTCTCCTTGTGTCCCGTTTGGTGTGCCTTAGGGAGGAAGAACCCCAGATTTGGGCCATGGCAGCCCTGTCCCTCAGGAGTTTGCCCTGAATCAGATACTCTCAGGAGTGACCCACTAGAATATCCCTTGTTTCATGAGTTAATACATGTATTTTGTGTTTTAATCTGAACCACTGAGTGTGGAGTGAAGTGTCTGGAAATAGTAGTGCAAGGAGGGGGGCTGTTGCACAGTCCTCTCCACTTTGGGGTGAGTGTGTGTGAAGTGTTTGAGCTTACGCTCTGTAGTTCTCTGTGCAGTGCAAGATGGTATAATTTGGGGGCTGTATTCCAAAGGGAATGTGTGCACCTGGGGAGCTGAAGTTGCCTTGACAGTAGCTTTTCTATTGTTGGTGCATGCAGAAAGCCACCCCTTCCAGACTGGGGAGCCCCCCAACTTGCCCAGGATCCCAACAAATTCACATCTCTACCTGTGTGTATAATGAGCAATGTGGAATCACCCCGTAGTTGGAAGAGGAGAAGCCAAATAAGAAATGTAGAGGGACAATTAGAAAGGCCAAGGCACAAAACAAGATCAAACAAGTTAGAGACTGAAAGGTTAACAAGATAACACTCTACAAATACATTAGCAGCAAGAGGAAGTGCAAAGTGACCATTAATCACTGGGGAGGGAGAATAAAATGCAGTTAATAGGTTTGCGGTCATTATTCTACAAGATACACACAATAAAGAAACAGGCACACACACAAGGTCTGAAGTGCACATGCATCTGAATCTCACACCCAACAGTAAACAAGCAGTTCACAGATAGTAGTTTAAAGATTTAAGAGCAGGTTGGATAGACATCTATCAGGGATGATCTCTTCTAGATGGTTTTTGGTCCTGCCATGAGGGCAGGGGGCTGGACTTAATGATTTCTGGAGTCCTTTCCAGTTCTAGGGTTTTAGGATTCTATGATCTGACACTCTAAAATGGGAAGAAAATGAAAATCTGCATCAGAATATGTTTCAGAACACAAGGAAGTAGTTAAAAGTTGAAAATGAGGGGAAAAAAGGGAGAAGAGGATGAAGAGTTGGTGCTGGCGATTGTGTGGCTCAATTATTACATGTAGCTGTCTATAGATGAATAGTTCTAAGTCTACACCAGCCAAGTGTTTATTCAAATAAAAAGTTTGTCAGAGAATATTGATTTCTTAAAATCAGAAGTGGCACTGAGTGTGAGTTCTGTTTTAGTTCTGTA